ATATATATATATATATATATATATATATATATATATATATATATATATATTGTTACTGAAAGAATTTGTAATATAGAGCAATAGAATATTGCAATGCATTTTAATATATGTTTCTGATGTTCGTTACATTCTTTCATCCGTTTGTCTCCTGATTCTTGCACATCCCTTTTTCTTGTTTCTTTTTCAATAATCTGATTCGAACGTGTAAAATTGTAAAATTTGCAGGCAAGGCTTGTGAGAAAGAAGATACTCCCATTTCATTCACCGAAAAAACCGAAGCCTACATATTATCGTTAATGCCAAACCTCCCATACGGAGAGGACTACTATACTCAGCCATCATTGACCGAAATAGCCTCAAAGGAAAAGGACGAACCCGGAAGCTGCACTCGTGTGGAAGGCTTTGTTTTCGGGAGGACTGGATTTGGAAGCATTAGATTCTTTGGACAAACGAATGTCAGGAATCTCGATCTTGGGTCGATTGTCCAATTCAATAAACGTGAAGTGATTGTGTATGGAGATAACAACAAGAAGCCACCAGTGGGGCAGGGCTTGAACAAGCCTGCTGAGGTCACTCTGCTTAAGATCAAATGCACGAGCAAGAAAACGGGCAAAGAGTATGTGGATGGGCCACAGGTAAAGAGTTATAGGGAGATGCTGGTGAAGATGGCTAGGGAACAAGGGGCCGAGTTTGTCTCGTATGATCCGGTTGAAGGGGAGTGGAAATTCAGGGTGCAGAGTTTTTAGGCATTTCAGTTTAGTTAGTTCAGTTTAGTTAGAATTGAGATCCAGTGATTGTGGAGAAGTAGATTTTTTTCAGTACATTGCCTAGTGTTTTCAAACGGTCTTGTTTAGTTTTCCACTGGTTGTTATTGGATGCTTGTCTATATTGTCTAGTTTGTTAGTTTGTGTTTTTACCTTATTTTCAGATGTTTGGTCTAGCATTTGTTGCCAGTTGAAGTTAATGGAAAATTGATGTGTGTTTTTTTTTTTTTCTTGGCAAAATTGCATGTCAAAAAATAACTTTTTAAGTTTTTGCATTTTAATCACTTTTCTAAGTTTTTGCATTTTAATCACTAACACCAGTACTAATACCCGTGTACTACACGAGTATTGAATTCAGAATTATTTACATCGACATATTAAAAGATAAACAAAATAATTTTATTTTAATATTTTGAAACTTTTATTTTTTCAAAGTTCTAAAATATTAGAACGACGCTAGAGTATTGCACATGAATATAATAATTTTTAATCAAATTATTTTTTCAAAGTTTAAGGAAACAATTTTAGTACCATTATATAAAAATAAGTTATTATATATGCTAATTACCTAAATATAATTAATTGGTAGCACAATTTGCAATATCAATATGCTAATGCTAAAGATAAAAAACTATTGCTAACAAATAAACAAATTGACATGTATGTTTTTAGGCAAACACAATGTTTTAAACAACGTACCGTTCGAATTGGTATAGACGGTAATATCGCATACGATTGAGCGCCGATGCAGTAATCCTCTAAATGCCATTTCGGCACATTACCATTTTATACCGGTTTCATACTAAAAAATACCGGCCGAAATATGATATACTAAATTTAAAAAATATATATTTATTTTATATCTTTATCAATTTATTCACAAAATTCTACACTTAGTTTTAACATGTTTACATTATTATTAGTTTTCAATCAATTTTAGTGTTTATAAATAAACCAACTATCGTAGGTGTAGATAATGCTAATTGTTTGTAACCAATGCCATAACATAATGGTCATATTATTCTTTACAGTGATTTGTGCAAATAAGTAAGTTATTTTTTATTTTAGTTATCTATGTTTTGCTACATTTATATGTGTCCTAACTTTAGCTTTAAATTCAATAATTACGTGTAGACTACCTACTTCAATTTACTTCTTTGTAGATATTTTATATTTTTTTGTTGTTTATTCCAATGCGTGAGAAGAAATTAATAAATAAATCTACTACGTAGATACAATTGTACCAAAAATGAAAAAATATGATGAATGCGATAAATTCTTGACATTTACCTACAAAATATATAGAAATACCTAGAGAAATATTCCTAGGGAAATGTTCATCTACATAAATGTAGGAAATTCGTGGATAATCTCTAGGTATTTACCTACCAAATATATTTGTATGTATATAAGAAAAAATGATAGGAAAAAAAAAATTGTAGACAATCTCTTGCCATTTACCTACAAAATAAATATTTAGGTAAATAACTAGAGAAAAACTTATAGGTAAATCTTAAAATTTGTAGTTAATTTCTACCAACAAACTATATTTTGTTGGTATATAGCAACGATTTGCCTACAAATATTTGTTTTTTTATTACAAATATTTGTTTTTTTTTNGATTTGGTGGTAATTTATAGTACCAACAAAAAAAATTTATTAGTCACATTTGATGCTATTTTGATATTTTTCTTAACGTGTTAAACCATTATAATTAATTAGCAGTAAAACATTATTAAATGTAGGTAAATTGTCCAGTCACGGTCACGTGCAAAGCACGAAGGGTCCCCACGCGAAGGCCCCACAATCCATCCCTTAGGGTCTACGTAGGCGTGTTTCGTGCTTTCTTTCACAAGCACGACTCTTCTACACCCTTTTCAAAAGAAAATTCATTCATTATTTTATTATATTTTACAAAGAGGAAAAACTGATTTATTATTATATTAATTAATTCGTTTGTCTTGTTTTGTTCCCTATAAATTGTCCACCCAGCCTTTTCTCGTAGCAGGCTTTTCTACTATAAAGTTCATTATTACACGCTTTTCGATATTTTTCCCATTTAATTTCTCTTGTTGCGTTTCTTCTACCATGGCTATGGCTGCTCATGTTTGTGGAGCTTTTGTATTAATAGTGGCTGTGTTGTTTATTACAAGCAGCAAAATATGTGCAGATCCAGACATGCTTCAAGATATTTGTGTCGCTGATCGCTCTTCAGGTATTTACCTTAAACTCCTTTAATTTCCAC